ATCCGCCCACAATAATAACTAACTGCATGCCCAATCACCGAATTGTCCGCTGTCAAACTTGCATAACACAGCCTTTATCATAGATACAACAGTATGAGAACAAATAAAACGCGTCCGGTATAAGTGAATATAATGTGTAGCAAGACAAGAAAGAAAAGTCCAGTGCTTCGTCACTCATCGTTGTTTTCCGTTCCCTGTCGTACCGATCTTTGTCGTCGAATATCGTTGATACGATAAAAAGCGGAGGTCTCCACTTCGGGTCCTAAAACAGCTGGACGCCACGATTCGGCGGCACTCTTAATCATGGAGGAGGAACAAAGTAGACAAGCCACGCGGAAGAAACTCTGCTCTAAAAAACGCATAAATATCCAGCTGTCACTCAAAAACGAAGCAACTGAAAAAATACACGACGTGATTAATGGAATTGCCGGTTCAGTGTCAATATATGCCCAAGACAGCCTAGATCTCTGTTTCAATATATGCTTGTCTTACAATTTGTAACAAGATCAAAGTAAGTTGGCGAATTTAGTCGCTGCGAATTGGACAACTTTACTGTTCAAAGCCGTTTCTTTATACAGTCCTTGCAACACACGAAATTTCTGTTTGATCGAGGACCTAACAAACAAGCAACTGGTACACAAGATGAATAACTTTGTAAAAGCTTTGTATGTATAGGCAACTGTGAAATTTGCTTGAAATTCTTCTAAAAACATTTAACAGTTTCTATGCAAATTTGACGGGAACGATAAAACTACAAAAGCCTAATTCCCCTGTATCAATTTCCATATATTATCAGAATTTGAGGCTCTAAAAATATTTTTTTCATCTGGTAAGTTTTATGGGACTATGATGCTTAATTTTCATTGCACTGTATTGTCAGATTGCCACGATTTGGCTTTCTTTTATGATAGAAGCTAGGCGTAACTGCGCTGCCGCTCCAACAATGTCACTACGTGAGACAACTGTTTGGGCAATTTTAGTAGTTTAAGTGACATTTAGATGCATTCAGTACCCGGCTCCTCTCAGCCCCCTTCCGCCCACCTCTCCCCGTCCCCGGCAAGGCCTCGGTATTGCGAAAATGCAGTTAAAGAACACAGTTTTTCTTTCTGTTCCTGTCAGACTTCACTGATAGCAACTATAAATCGGAACCAGTAAAAACAGATATACTGGACTGACAGACTGAGCTATACCACGGATAATCAAATGGAGATTATCCTGATAGTCATTCGTCCCTTCGCAAGGCTTAAGGGTCATCGAGATACTATTCCTTTTTTTGCAATCAAATGATTTTTATGCGTTTTGTGCTGTGTAACAGCAGTACAAAACACATATTGTCACGGGGTTATCTGTGTGTGTTTGTGTGCGTGCGTGTGTGTCCGCAGCAACTTGTCCGCAACTTTCAACTCGGGAACCACAAAAGCTAGGAAGCT